GATGGCTGAGGGGAGGGATGCAGCCCCACGTCCCAACAGAGTTAGGATGATGCCAGCCAGTCCCAGCCCCGTGCTCTTCATCCTCTTTGGATGCTCCGGCAAGCAGACTGCATTCAGGACATCGATCTCATCATTCATCCCACCTCTCCCTAACACCACACCAGGTCTCCCGCTCATACACCCCTCAGCTCTCCTCCTAACCTTACAGTTTTATTTTTCCAGCCCCTGATGCTTAGTGGGGTGCCCCTCAGCCATCCAACCAGCAGCATTTCTCCCTTTCCATCCCAAGCTCTCCCTCCTGACCTGTTGCAAACCCAGGACCTGCTTACTTAGCCAGAAAGCCATTACTCAGCACACAAACAAAAGCATTAAAAAGTAGCGGAGCTAGAGAAAATGGGTCAAAAATTGAACCAGTTTCAACCCCAGTCATCAACTCACATCCTGGGAATTCAGGGCTCCACCCTCCCCAGCCAGGCCTGGGATTTGGAGGGATGTTCTCAGGATCAGGGTGACGCAAGGATCACACCCTCTGCCTGAGCTCACGCCGAAATGCCTTACTTCACAACAAGCCTTGTGGGCAGGAAAAAAAACCTGAGATAGGATTTGCTGAAAACCAAAGTCTTGCAAAATCCACCATGTTTCGGATATACTTAAACCGTTTCCCATTTCCATGGCTAGGATGAGATACCAAGGGAGAATTTACTGCTGGGTCTCTCCACTGGCACTACCCAGGGGAGAGAACATCCCAGCCAAAATAATATCCAAAAAGGCTGGCAGGAATACACAGTCCCACGGTCTGAGAGCGGGACGGCAAGCCAGGAACCCACAGCTTCGAACTCCAGTTCCAAACCCATGAGGATCACAAAAGAACTGTATGGTTTAAGCCTGCACAAAAATAGCTGGTCCCACAACAGGGAATCATGGGCAAGAAATATTCCCGAAAGCTTTGCAGAGGGAGGGCATTGCAGGCAGGGCAAGTGGGAGGGAAATGAGTTGGGTAAAGGGCTCTCAGATGGTAGATTCCATAATAATAGTCCTGTAACAGAAGAAGCCGTGATTATTGCTGTTACAAATAGGTACACACACAAGAAAGCATTTAACTACATGGTGGAGGAGGAGATCTTACAAATGAGAAGCCGCAATGACAAAGCAGAGGTCACGCGTTGAGTCATTGCCTGAGCTGACGCTCAAGAAAGATGCTCAGATACCACCTGGATGGGGCAGGGAACACGAACCCCATTAGTATAAAACCCCAAAGACTTTCCAGGAGCGCAAACGGTGTGGTCCAACCCAAGGAGAGAGATTGAGGCCAGCAGACGCTGAGCAACCTACCCGCAATGGTGTAGAGCCCCGTGACCACCAGCATCAGGACAGTGGAGAGGTAAAGGTCCCAGCCCAGGCAGACTTGCACGAAGAGGGCCCCTGAGTACAGGTCCGTCTGTGCGTGGAAGAAGAAACACAGAGGTTGGGGGACAGGTGACACCCACTTGGCTAAGCAGCCCCCAAGGGCTGTTGCAAGAGGGGCCGGGCAGAGAAAGGGTCAAGGCTGGGGGTACAGCAAGGACATCACACTGCATGTGCCAGGGGGATGCTTCCCAAAGCCAGCAGTGAAGCCCAGGGTCCCACACGGGTGGCCAGGTCACCGCTGCAGATGGGTGTCACAGGCCGCCTTCCCCCAACCCCTGAAGAGCAGAGCAAGCAGCTCTAGCAGTTATCTGCAACTGGGCTCCGTTGGACGCAGACAGCGGGACGGAAGGGTCAGAAATGGGACGCCTCGGGGCATCAGCGCTGCCACAGCCTTTGGGAGCAAAGCAGGGAGCTAGAGGAACTCAGCCCTTTACAGGATCAGACCCTGAGCTGAGCTACCTTCCTTCCTGCCCTGAGTACCCCCAGTTCCCTCCACCGATGGCAGTGCCCCGCTCTCCCGGTGGCATCTAACCATGCAGAGCCCTGGAGATGGGGCACCAGGTACCAACCCAGGGGTCGTGCTCCCCCCAGAACACCTTGGGTGCTCCCTGGAGGTGGCCCAAGCCACCCACCCCTCCAGCCCAGCACACCCATGTTGTTTCTACACCCCGACAGCCCCCACAGGACTGATGCAGGGGGGCGGCTGTAGCTGGTGTTTCGTGTTCTGCTCAGCAGGATTCGCCCTCCTGGCAGCCGTGCTGCTGGCAAGGAGGCTGCTAAGGACCAACTCCCCCCTCCCCAGCTGCAGCTCCATGTTCTGGGCCATCAGACCACTCAGGAGTGCGGCAGCGAGCCTAAAAAATGCTGCTGGGGGGCAGGAGGGGATCCCTTCCCAGGTGCAGGGACTTCTCGAGGTGCTTGCTGGTACCTGCAATGCCTTTAGAGATGGATGGGGCAGCTCTGCACCCTGTCGCTCGAGCCATTTAGCGGTGCTCAGGTGGGTGCTGGTGGGGCAGAGCAAGGTGCTGCCTCGCTCCCCAAGGGCTACAGCAGCGGTTCAACCTCCGCAGGCACTCCACGGTGAGAAGCACCCCATGGGCAGCCCCAGCGTGGAGGACAAGGCCTCCAGGACTGCCGTTCCTGAGCCTTGCCCCAACAACAAGCCACTTCTTTGCTGAGTATCGCTGAGAAAATAGTCCCTCCTGGTTTTGCACAGATGGGGGAACCAAGGCACGGGCAAATGGCAGAAGATGCTTTTGGCCCTGAGGGAGAAGCAGCAGCCCAGCATGGACCAGCACAAATGCATCCTCCAACACGTCCCCTGATCCGCCCCCCCCCCCCTTACAAAGCCCCAGGAAGAGGCTTGGGGTTTCTGTTTGGCCACGGAAGGACAGACCGACTCCACACCCAACACACTGCCTCCACCAGCCCCAGCATCTTCTGCACTGGGTGTCACGTCCCACAGGCATGCCGGGAGCGTGCCTCTGCCCGGAGGAGCGTGTGCAGGCCTGCAGCTCACCCAGCTGATGAACTCCCTCGAGATGACTGACACCCCAAAAGTGACCGCTGTTTCCCACCCATGGGAGGGCTGGACCCACACAGGGAGGTCTGGTCACGGTCTCGTGGGAAGGAGATGGAAAGCAGAGGCTTAGAGGGAGCTGGGGCACCTCCTCCAACAAAAGCAGCGGTGCCGCAGGAGAGGCGCAGCCAGCGGTGCCTACGGCACCACCACGTCTCCACCCGCAGCTGAGGATCCAGCCGTGCCCAGGCACTCGGCTGGGGTATCTTCACACAAACCTTGTTTGGAGAAGGAAACAAGGCCAGAAGGGGCAGGAAGAGGCAAGACGAGGCAACTCCACACCCTTGCCCAGAGCCGTGACGGCTTTCCCCAGCCAAGACATCAGCTCCGATTTGACATCTTTCTTCACACACCTCCCAGCAACCATCCCCCAAACAGCAGGACTTTCTTGCCCGGTCATGCGGGAGCCGTCGCTTGGGATTAGCAAAGTGGAGGACTGGTGCTGTTTCCCATATCACACCTCCTTCCCCCAACTCTGCCCTTCCTCCTCCCAGCGCTGCTCCGGCAAGGTCGCCGAGCAGGAGCTGAGGACCATCATCGGGTGATGAAGAGGGGCCACGCAGGATCATGCAATGGAGGAACCAAGGCATGCGCTGCCTAGCAGGGCTCTGTCAGCCACCAAACCCAGTAGGTGAGCACACATCCAGCTTCAGCACAGCACAAAAGCCTGTTCCGTAGCAGATGAGTCCACACCGTTAGGCATAATGTCGATTAAATCACAAATCAAACCAACCAGAAGAGCACTTACACCATGATCTTGAGGATCCTAATTCAGGGACCGTTCCACGATATCTGGACCAGGCTTTACACCACAGTCACACCTGCATTCCCAAGGGAGGTACTACGTGTCCTCAGCTGCACTTGGGCTTGGCCATGTCGCTTAGGAGAGCCCTTGCCGGCACCAAGAGGCAATTGGGCCCTGGAACATCCTGGTGAAGAGGAACCAATTCATGGGCAACCATGCCAAAACCTCTACCAGGGGCTCCTCTGATGCCTTTCCACCACAAACGCAATCCAGTCACAGCTTGATACCACAGTGACCACCAAGCAGCCCTACAAGAGGACAACCAAGCCATTCATGCAGCACAAGCTTCAGCTACATGGCAGAAAAGCCCCAACCAAGGGCCCTCAGCCACCTCCTCCCAATGCAACCCAAAGTCAGAACCCAAAATATTTTAAGCCTCCTTAGCACAGTGCCAGCCAAGCGTTCCTGGTGTCTTCTGGAATTCCTAGGGTCCCTTGGAGGGATCCATCACTTGTCATCTCAGCACCAGCCAGAAAGTCATAACCCCTGTGACCGCCTGCTGCTCCAACAGCCCTTCCCCAGAGCCCAGCTGCAAAGACTCAGCCCTGGACAAGGTATTTCATAACTTCTCCTCCTGGCTTTCTCAATGCTTAATCTTTTTGCAGTGGTCGGCAAATGAGTCTAAGCCTTTGCTATGAGGAAGCAGAGGTATCTCCACCTCCCTTCCTGGTAATTCTGCCGGGGTGGGAAAAAATAAAAGTGCATGTGACTGAGATGTTAATAAGACACCTCAAATACAAAAACAAGCCAATTAAAACCAGGCATGACCTATTCATAAAATAGGTCCTTTCAACTGTAAAAGAAGAGGAGCCTTTGAAGTCAGGGCTCATAATCCAGTGAGATCCCTGCCTCCACTGGTGACCTCACTTGGAAACTCGTTCTTACCCAACATCGTTAGCGCCTTCCCAACGAAAGCTGGCTTTAGAGACAGCTTGGATTTAACGACTGGGGAAGCGAAAGCCTCAGTAGAACAAGTTACCCAGGGTACTGAGGAGTCTCCAGGGGCTCTTTGCCAAGGCTAGGACACCCATGCAACTCCTCATGTGTTCCTCGCCAGGGCGGATACCATCTCTCAGCTGCCCTGCTGCACCCTGCCATGGAAGGTTGGGGTCCACCAAAGGGTAAATTCCAGGAGAGGAGGGACTGTCAACCTCCTTGCCCCAAAAGAAGAGCCGAGGGAGCAGCACTGACGCCGTGTCTAAGTTCAGGAGAACGTGGAGTGGAGATCCAACCATTAACGAAACGTCTGCAGGCAGGAAAAGCCCAGCTAGTCCAGGGCTTTGAGGCAGCCCCCAGTGAGGACCAAAGGAAAATGCTGTGGGGAGACAGCACTGCCTAATTGCTCCGAGTTTCACGCTCTCCTCCCACGCTCCCCGCTGCGGTCACCACCAGGACGGAACATTGGGGCAGTCTGGCAACGCCCCGCATGTCCGCAGGCATTCATCCCAACCCACTGCTGGAAACAGCCATTGTTTGAGAGATTTACCATGAATGGAGCCAGATGCCAAGATAATCCCCTTATTAGGGTGATTCCTCTTCTGCTGCATCCTGTGTGACTCAGAGATCAGAGAAAACTCAGCAGACCAAAGGAACTACAGCACTGGCTGGGAAAAGGCACAGGAAGAGGCATTTGGGAGCACAGAGGTCATCTACAGGTTCATCTGGTGTTAGGCAAGGGGTGACACCACAACCGTCTCCCAAGCTAAGAATGAACTTGTAGGACATCCATTCCTTCTGGGCAAAGCCACGGAGAATTACTGGAAACCAAAGGGACCAAGCACAAGCCCACGGCATGGTAGCGCACCGTTTTGTAAGAGAAGAGGGGATGTCTGTGCTGGTCTGGAAAGAGACTCAAAGACCATCAGCCCTCAGGCTATGGGTAACTTCTTTCTTCAAATTCAGACCAGCAAGAACAAACTGCCCCACCAGTAACCCTATCCCAGCTTCCAACCTTTCCTTTTAAACGCCAGCAGGGATTCACACAGATCTCGGGGACCAACACCACGGATGCTCCATCCTCTCCCTCGAGCTCCTCCTGGGTCTTCATCAGGAGCAGGGGAGAGCTGTCTCCTGAGCAGCACACAGGAGGGGAATAAGTGACAACAATTTTCTGGGCATTTGGACAACCAGGGAATAATCAAAGCGTCCCTGACCCAGCTTGCAAACTGAACCGGTGCTCCAGGAGCCACCAGGCTGATTTCAGGAGAAACGCCGTAGGATTTTTCAATGCCATAAATG